GGAAGATTAAACGACATTTTAGAGAAGGGAAAAATTAGACTCTTCCTCACGTCCTTCTTAGTTCTAGATGAAGCAGATAGAATGCTAGACATGGGATTTTCTCCACAGATAAGAAGCATAATGTATGATTATGACATGCCAGGAAATGATAACGACTCACGTATGAATCCAAACAAAATGGAATACAAACGATACACCAACGATATAGTCAAAAGACAAACCATCATGTTTAGTGCCACGTTTAGGAAAGAAATACAAGTGCTAGCCAAAGAGTATTTATTCAATTATACCTTTTTATTAGTCGGAAAAGTTGGAAGTACAAATGAATATATCAAGCAAAATTTGATATACATAGAGGAAGAAAACAAATGTAACTACCTCCTAAAATTGTTATCAGAAAATAACAACGGGTTAACCATCATTTTTGTGGAAACGAAGAGAAAGGCCGACATTATTGAACGATTTCTTAGCAACCAAAAGTTAAATGCCGTATGTATACATGGTGACAAGAGCCAAGACGAAAGAGAGAGAGCTTTAAAATTATTCAAAAGGGGAATCAAAAATATGTTAGTAGCAACAGATGTAGCGGCTAGAGGTCTGGATATATCGAACATTAAACATGTCATTAATTTTGACTTACCCAGCAATATAGACGATTATATTCATAGAATAGGTAGAACAGGTAGAGCCGGAAATATTGGAATTGCTACATCCTTTGTCAATGATGACAACAGGAACATATTTAAAGATTTGTTAGCAACGTTGGAAGAATGTAACCAGGCCATACCACGCTGGTTTCTAAATTTGGTCATGAGGTACACAGCAAGTGCGAAGTCGAATCGGAGTTTCGGATTCAATAAGTCGAGCAAAGGACGTAAGGGCAACTACTCCAGGTATAACAACAATAGTAACTTCGGATTTAGCCACAGTAATAGCGGTATGAACAATAACCACATTGGAAGCGGCAACAACCCCTTTAACAATAACTCGTACAACCAGCATTCCCCATTTAGTAACAACAACCCATACAATAACAACAGTCAACATGGCATGGGGAACAACGGCGGATTCTCCAGCACCCCCTTTAATAACAACAGTAACATGTATGGAAACAGCGGCTATAACAACAATGGTGGAGGAAGCCCCTACGGAAACAACTCCGGAGGAATGAACCCATTCAACAGCAACAGTAACGGCAAGTTTAATAACAACTACGGGCATAAGAAGTTTGACGACCAGAGGTTCCAAAGGTCAAATTTTCAAGGCGCCGACGAGAATGTAGATGGCTGGTAAGGCTACGAAGGGGAGCAGGACCTATGGTAGATAATAGCGCAGGGTGTAAGGGACAGATTCTATGGAACGACGTTAAAGGGAGAAACAAACATCCCTTACTGAGCGCACACTTTTTGAACCTTTGAGGGCACTTCGTTTTTCAGAGCTTTTTTTTTTTGCAACCTGCGCAGTCGGCATGAAACCGTTGAGCTGCGCAGATCCGTCAGTAGCCGCTTTAGGCCGCTTCAAGCCGCTTCTACCTTTACGGACGCCCTTGCGCGCGGAAAAATGCACAAGTCCTAGTGCAACACTGCGGATTATGAAGCACGATGCCCCTTTTTTAAGGGAATAAAAAAAGAAGAAACAAAATAATAGACCTTTCTGAGCAGTAGACGTCAGAACTCAAGTGGACAGACCCTTACTTCTCGCCAGACATCACGGCCCAAATACCGACGCCTCGACATCCATGTTTTGTGTAACAGTAACTGCAACTGTAACTGCAACTGTAACTAAGTTTTTACCCCCACGTGGAGACACCAATTATTCATGAACTTGCTCAAAAGTCATATTTTTTTATTTTCGGTATTTTTTTTTATGAGAATATTATGAGTCATGTTGCCAAGGTTGGGCATACACGTATGCGTCGCATGTGCGTGTACATCTGCATATGCCTCTGTGTAGGTGTGTCTTAATTGACCTGCGTTTAATACTAGAAAGGATTATTATAAAGTTGAATACCCCAATTTAATAATATTTCTTCTCAGAAGCCATTTGTACTCAAATAGTAAATTCCTATTTTATTAGTACTCCTTATTTTATTATGCGCACCGTGTTTTATTATGACACCCTGCTTCATCCTATTATGCCACGCTATGCCGTATTGCGAGCCGTACTGTGCGTCGTATTATGCGGCATATTATACTGTATCATATGACATCCACAATACTATACGATGTTTTATCATACTATATTTACGATGTTTTAGAATAGGATAAGATATTTTACCATATTCCAACCTACAATATAGATAGCGTAGTGTTTCCTTTTTTTTTTTTTACATGTGTGTATCCAAAGCATATGTTATTACAATTTTTACTTTTTTTACAATTTATCTGTATATGTATATATATATGTGTATAGTTGCTTATCTCTATATATGTGTATCCATATGTATATGTATAAAATTAAATGTAAAT